TTTTAATATAGTTTTAATTTACTGTAGCGTATTTGTATGGTGAACGAACGGACAGGACATCAGCTTAGTTACTTTCTCTTTATTTTCTCTTTACTTTAATAAAATTTTTGTCTATTTTTGTCTAAAAAATTTTTATCCAATCAATCCAGGGGGGGGCAAGTGCCCCACCTTGCCACTACCTGCGGGCGCCCATGGATCCAAGCCAACTTTGGTTCAAATTTAATGCCTTTTATTCAAACGAATGTGTAGACTTACACCACTCTATATACACACGTTCCTAACAACCGTATGCAACCGAGACAGTGGCGTAGCTCGAGTTTGTGACGCCGATGGTTGGTCCTTGAGTTTGCCATCCCTACTTCACGAAACCATAATACAATACAGCATACATATTATGAAATAAACGATAAAACAGTACATAATAAACCTGAAATACAAACCATATCTATAGTGAATGGGACGAGAAGAAGGAAGACAACTTTGGCGGTAAGGTGGCGGTAGGGAAAGTTGTAGGGAATCAGTAGTTGAGTTTGGGGTGAGCGGGGAGACTCTGAGACGGTAGGAGCAAGTTATACACACTTATTCTAGAACAGCGGTTCTCAGCCTGTGGGTCGCAACTCTTTTGGGGGGTCAAACGATCCTTACACAGCGGTCGTCTAAGACCATCGGAAAACACATAATTAAGAAGTAGCAAGGAAAATATTTTTATGGTAGGGGATCACCACAACATGAGGAAATATGTTAAAGGGTGGTGGTATTAGGAAGGTTGAGAACCGCTGTTCTAGAGAGTAAACAAGGAAGGATAATGTCGACATAGTGGGTTGGAATGTGCTGACGAGTATTAAAAGAAAAACAGCCTTTAAAATAAAGACTTTTTATCAAAGACGTGTTTAAACGAAATAGAAAGTAGAACATACTTTAAAATGTCGTAAAACGCATCACACAAAGGACTGAGGAGAAAAAATAAGCCACTCTATAAGGTCAAATGATTTCAAATAAATGTGGGAAATTTTTTTTTTTTTTCTTTCTAATTTTTTAAATATTGTTTGCAGCCTTTGTTATCCACGATTCTAGCTCCATTGGGTACACATGTATAAATTATGTTAAAAAAGATTTAGATTGCCGGCCAAGTATGGGATTCGTTCGCGAAGGAAAAAAAAACATTTATTTTACGAGAGCAAAGAGCATAATGGGGTGGGGCATATCATTTCCGCTTTCATTTCATTTGCGGATGTCATAGTTTGGCTAAGTAAACATGGATCGGATGACGTCACCGGGAATAGAGAGGGAAGGAATGATTTAGAGCAGAAGTATACATTTTATTTTAAAAGCTATATCATTGGCTTTGTTTTAATTAATCGTACTTAACCTACTGGAATCGAGTTTACAAACAACACACGTGATTTTTGGAAGCAACCCAACGTGGTAAAAGTAGGCGGCAACCACGGGCAAGCTACTCTGTTTTACAAAAAAATTGAAGGTAGCCCATAGGAGTAGACGTAATAAAATGATAATAGATTGAGTTCGTTCGTGAAGGGGGGTTGTTTGTATGAACTATTGAGCCACATATGACGAGTTGTACAAATGGAAGGCTAACAAGAAAAATCTCAAGGATTCTGCAATCAGAAGGCATTCGGCGGTTACTTGCAGAGAGCCTCTAAATGAGAAAATGAGATTAGGTATTTATAATTAGGGACTGCTCACGTATACTACATAATACATGCGTTGTAGTGCATGGTAAGCATATGCTTACCAACCATCATCCACTAGGCATTAGGTGACAGATAACTAGACATTATGTAACGTCATTAAAAGGAGATGATACAAAGTGAATATCAGTTCTTGAGTCATGAAGACGATCCTAAGAATTTGAGCGCTGCATTAAACAACCTTTAACAACAAAGTTTTTTTCTGTGTAAATCTTTTCTATGGACTTTTTTATTTTTTAAAATTTTATATGAATATTCTAATGCCCCACCCACTTTTAAAACGCATATTTATTTCACCAACCATTTCAGGAAAAAAAAGAAAATATTACGCACAAAACGCCCTTGAGATTTGGGTTTAAAAGAATCTCATTTGGCGCAGTCATCTGGAAATGTATTTAATTAAATCAGGGGGCATCATTTTTCTTTCATCTCCCCCTTGAAAAAACAGGAAAAACGGATTATTGGGTTGGGATGTGGCTTAAAATATGATAGAATGTGTTGTCATCGGCAACGCGTCTGTGTGCCAGGTTTCAGCTCGGGAGGTTGACGGGAAGTGAGACAGCCATCCGAAGACTTTGCCACCCAGAAACACACGAGCGAAAGCTACGTTAATATAAAGGATTTAAAAAGGGAATGCTGTAATTAATAACAGAATGATCACAACACTCCCAAACAATGCGCTACCATGATGAAGAGGATAGCACGCACCGTAATGTTATGTCATAGAACAATCAGTACATCCTGCCTGGGCACTATGTAATCCCCTGGCAATAGTACGGTATGCCTCTCTT